AACGTCGAACGTCACGCCTAACAACATCGGGAAAAATCAAGAATCTATACGATGATACCAGTAGACCATGACGATATCTTCTCTTTTTCACTTATATAAGAATAAGAATAACACTGTTTCAAAAATGGATAGAGAAAAAGAAAAAATTTGAGGCATTTTTAGAAAAAAATACGAATAGTAAACGCAACCACAGCTTTTCTTTTTGATATAGTTGCTTTCATACTTTATTCATTCACGTTCGATTTATTTCTTACACGAACTTAAAAATATCGAATATTACTAAACTATTACGTATATGTATACGTATTATAAAAATTATAGTTTTAGAAAATTTGCATTTCTTCTTTTTTTTTTTCGTTAATTTTATCAACGTACCTTTAATATCAATTACAGTGCCACCTGCTTCTCGAATAATTAACACCGCTGCCGCAACATCCCAAGGTTGAAGACTGTCCATTTGAACGCAATCTAATGCACCTTTTGCTACAAACGCTAAAGCCAATGCAGCTGATCCCATACTTCTAATTCTAAGTTTGTACAATTAACTTAATACTTGAATCGTTCAGTGCATGAAATATTTAAAAAGTATAAGAATAAAAATTAGTAAATTTTGAAATACGCACGGAAAGAGCTCCGAATATAAAATTTTATTAGATTTGAGTTTTTATTAATTTCCGAGATATTAATAAAAAATATTAATTTAATAAATGTTTGATACAATACATCGAATTCTGCATATAATAGGTGAACTAATTCAAAAATTTAATACTTTCTCATATTACGATTACGATTAAAAATGTCTCAAATCCAATGCCGAGTTTGAGAATTTTTAAAAACATTCAATTCACATATCGTAAGGATAAAATAATTTCAAAAGTCCATAAGCAAGTCGTAATTTTGGATCATCAAAATTTTTTAAGAAAGAAATAAGATTCACGAAGACATCGATATGGATATCACGAATAGGAGAATGGATAAAAGAAATTGACAACGTTGTATAGAATTTTTTTGCAATATCTTCTATGATAAAAATAGAAATAATAGCATTTAAACTTATATACTCACCCTCGTACAGAATGAATCAAAGCTTCAAATCTTCCCCATCTGATATCTCGATTTTTCGAAGAAAAGCCAAGCGAGTATAATTCGATCTCTATCAAAGATTTTTTCATTTCTATAATCGATAACATAAAGAATATTTAATTACGTGTATTGTTTTTTTTTTTATTCTTACATATTCGAACGAACGGTATATCATTTCAAAATAATTAAGCTTACTATGTATCGAAAACTATTATTCTTATAAATAATCGATTTTAAATTGTTTTTATATTTAGATTTTTGCTCGAATAACGAACAAGTTCTTTTTATTTTAAGATGTTATCTTACCAGTAACATTAGAAGTTTTAATAGGTTTATCGTTCAAATAAGCTCCTTGTCCTTTGATCGCAGTATATAATTCCGAATTGATCGGATTATATATAATTCCTATTACAATTTCTTTGCCAATTACCAAAGCGATGGAAATACAAGCGTTTGGAAAGGAATTTATAAAATTGATCGTTCCATCTATGGGATCTATAATCCAGGTGGGTTTATCCGTTAATACCGGTTTTTCTTTAAAATTACTCGCAGTTTCCTCCGCCATAAATCTATTTCAAAAATATTTCCTTTATTTAGAAATGCATTTACATCCTTAAAATTATAATTTACTTAATAATACAAGAATGTCGATGACTTACTCGTGATCCGGAAATTTTTCTTTCAAATTTTGTATCAATAGATTTTCGATTTTTTTATCATAATCCGTTACCAAGTCCAATTCATGATTCTTAAATTCTATAATTTTTTGTCCTTCGAAACCATGTTTAAATATCTAAGGAAAATGCAAAACACGATTAAACGTTATCCGATAAATGTTGATTCGAAGATAAGTAAAGATAAATCATTCTTATATGATTACTTATTAAGTTTTCTTTCTATTTATCGATCGATACGGTAATATTTTAACAATCGATTTAATAATTTTTCGTTAAAATTATTATTATTTTTATCGTTCATTAAGAAATATATTCTTATAAAAATTATATATAATATAATTTAAGAAATTAATTTATTCAAATATTTATTATATAACTGAATTTTAAATATTTGATTTTTTATTATAAAATATAAAAATAATAGTTTGTTGCGAAAAATATTTTTTTTAATTATTATTACATATATATTATTAACATATACACATATTGTAGATAATAACGTAACAAAACAAAATAACAAAATAAAATGTATTATAAATTTGATTTGATTTTTAAATTCATCGAAATATACATGAAAAATATTAAAATGATTTGAAAAAAAAAATTTTAATTTCAAACGAACAAACGTCACTTTCGTATAAAATTTTTACAGATATATCGTTATTATTTTTCGAAAGTTTCGGTATCATCGAAAAAATTTCATTAAAAAAAGAAAGTTTTATTATAACTCACCTCTCCTGCTTTCAAGGTTAGCTCTTTAACAAATTCAAAGTAATTTTTGATATCTAATTCGCTCGACATGATCGTCGATCCCGATACGATTGCCGATCCTGAGACTTTCGACAGAACGACTGATCGCGCAAATAGCGTGTTGAGATCCTCTTATCTTTATCATTGCAGAGATAAAAATCGCAAATACACGAAATAACTTGTAATCCAAACAATCGAAAAAGATTTTCTATCTCCGAGATACTCGATGCGTATCAATGTACGTAAATAGATATATAAATATTCGCATACACATTTCAAAATAATTTTTTTTTTTCACGCAAAGCGAAAAAAACTTTGATCTTTCGTAACGATAAAATTCAGTTTTATCATTATACACGATTAGTCTCTTTTCTATCTCCTTAATTATTATTCCATTTTCTAAAACAGAAAAATAATTTCGATTTATATAAAACGAAGTAAAAAAATATTTCAATCAATAAAATTTTAGAACTGTAAATGTTATGTATAAAAAAAGTGTCGATATTTGATATTAAAAATTTTTTCCATTTTACAGTTCTCGTAATGAAATTAATTATTTCTTTTCATTATTCAGGAACAATTAGTAGATATATAATACGATATATACGTATATTATTTATAGCACACATATTATTCTATATTCTTACAAAGAATTTTATATTTTTTTAAAAACAATGGTATTTCTAGAATAAGAAATAAGATAAATATGTTTCTCACGTTGACCCAGAATCAAAATGGTTCCGGCGATCAAAATTCTAGTTCTCATCAGGATTTCGGAGAATTCGTATCAGGTCAAATAAAATGAAAGGATAAAATGAAATAAAATCTTAAGGAATCTCACGTGCGATGCAATCTGGTCCAAAAATTTATTACAGAAATACGAATGGACAAAGGAATTCTTGGGAATCCTTGTTAATCCGGACAAGTAAATCTAAGTCAAGGGATAATCAATTCGATCGGACCAAAGCGACAGTATAAATCAAATGGGTTGAGATAATCGAAAATAATATTGGTTTCAATTATGAAATGGAATATGGAGAATCATGTTCCGATTAAATGATCTTTCAGTTGACAGAATCAACGAATCATAGCATCAATGCACCCGGTAAATCAAATAAATGGAATCTAGATCCAATCAAATCGATTATTCTTCGTTTCCAGACATTATTCATCTACCTAACGTTGAACAAAAAGATCGAAATATTTTGCAAATTTCTTAACGCAAGAAAAATAAAACTCGCGAGAATAAAAATATTCTCAATTATTCGTTCGAAAGATTCTTCAAGGAAGTTTGAGAGAGAAAGAAATTTTGGTTTTACAACAATTACATCAATTACGTACAGTACAGTTTCTTTTTTTTTTTAATAATCATTTACATTTTAATATTTTATTTAATATATCGTACATCGATAAAACGTTTATTCGAAGAGAAGAAAAGAATACGTCCGCTCCGTTCCGCGTTCGGAAATCGACTACGTTTAATCGATACGTATACAATAACAATTAGGAGAATATTCGGTTCACTTGGTATTCCGAAGACGATTACTTTTAACCGATACGCATACAATAACAATCGACGCTTATTAGTCGATCAATCATTATCACGGAGCAGTTTTTTCTTTTTTTCATTATTAATTTACGAGATTTATAAAGAGATCGAACGATATTTTTTTCTTTATCTTTTCTTTTATTTCAATCATTTTCGTCGAATCATCGTTTAAATTATCAGTATCGTAACACCATGAATCGTGAAAATTTCGTGAAAATTTAGTTACGCTTTTTTTTTCGTAAAGGTATCTTTTATACATTTTTGACGAATTTATAGTTTTTTTTTTTATCATTCGTTGCGCTTTAATAATTTTTTTATTTCGTTTTTTTTTTTTTTAAATAAAAATGTTTTTTCGGACGATCGAAGGACGAAAAAAAAATAGAAATTAGGAAAAAAAAACTAGGAAAAAAAAATTGTCGAGTACCTTAAGTAGCCAAAAATTAAAAGCTCTCGTTAGAGGAGCTGTAGCTAAGTTGGAACGCTGCTTCTTCCGCACGCCGAAGAACCGAGGTTCGAGACTCGATCTTTTCGAAACTCGAGTTTTTTCGCGAGCGACGGACAACTTGTTAACTTGCCACGAGGGAATGATCCTCGGTGTCTTTCTCTCGCTCTAAGGACTCGGGAAGTCACTCACCGGTCTTAGGGGGTTTTTCACCCAGGAGATCACTCTCTCCGGTCCGGGGGGTGTCCCCCGGGCCAGACTAGAATTTTTGAGGAGGCGCTGGCGGAGGTTGGACGGGGAGGATTATATCGGGTCTCTCTTACCAGCTTTTGCTCCCGAGTACAGGGAACGGGCCGTGGCTCTACTCGCGGCTCGACATTAGCTAAATGGCGCGGAAAGGTATCAAGTGTCTTCCGGTAATAGGAGAAGAAGCTTCGTCGGCACGGAATCGAAGAAAGCGAAAGAGGAAAGAGAAAAGGAATAGGAATAATATCTTTGTTTTTTCGATATTAACAAAATATAAGTTTAAAACGGGGAAAAGAGAATATAATATTTATGGTGTGCATAGAGATAGAATAGAAATTTGTAATTTTAATAATTATAGAACATAAAGTCGACCGAAATTTTATTTATAATTTAAGATCGAACGCTGGCAGCAGTGTCACTATTTCACGATACGTACAATTACGTAGGATTAAGAATTAAAATATACGGATCGAGTTAAATCCACATATTTTATTTATCGTATATCATTGCGTAACGAAGGAACATGAGAATTAAAGGAAAGAAAAGAAGATTTAAGAATTACGGTTAATAAGAAGGAGAGATAAGTTTTAAACGGAAGAAAATTAAAGAAAATTTATTAGGAGAATATTTAAAAGAAACGGAGGAAAAAAAAGAAAAGGATTGGAAAATTTAATTGAAGATAGGAAGAAAAATGGAATTTAGAAGATAATGATTCTATCTAGAATATTTATTTTATTTAAAAGGAAAAAAATTGATTATTGGAACAATTAAATTTTAAAGGTAATTTTTTCTTCTTTTGGAGGGTAGAAGGAAAGTGGACAAGTGATGCGATCTATTTAGATGCGTAGAAATTAATGGGGATTATAAAAAAGATAGATGGCACTGATCGTATATTAATTCGTATTATATGGGAAAGAATTATTAATTAATAAAACGCAAAGATTAGAAATGGAATAAAAGGAGGAAGAACGATTGGAAGTTTTCTTTTTTCCTACCTTTCTTTCTTTCTTTCTTTTTTTTTCGAGCTTTGATTTTGTTTATTTTATCGTTGATCGCATCGAATTAACATTAATATTTAATTTTTCTTTGGATAGAATTTATAATTTATTTGAGT